ATGCCAAAGGCATCTCCAATGGCTTTGCCAAGTGGTGTTGTCCCTGGAACTGTGCAGGCACCATGAGATGGTAGGTCAATCAGCCCCAACATGAGTATCCGCTGGGCAACCTCTGGAGAAACCCCAGGGTTCCATGGAACCATGGTTGAAAATGGCTGTGTTTAGACTATGGACACCTTGGCTTTTAAAGAGTCAGTTTCCACCCGCATCGCTAGCCTACTAAGCGACATATCAGCTTGGATGTCATTCCACTTCCTTAAACTCAACCTCTCCAAAACTGAGCTCCTAGTATTCCCCCCTGCCCGCGCCACCCCCACTGACTTCACCATAAATATCGATAACACCATCCTCAGTCCATCCCCTCATGACAGGGTACTAGGTGTAATCCTAGACGCCCATCTGTCCTTCCAGCCCCAGATCCAATCGCTGACAAAATCATGTAGACTTCACCTCCGCAACATCTCCAAGATACGACCGTTCCTAACCTCGGAAACCACTAGGCAACTTATTCACTCCCTTGTTATATCTCGCCTTGACTAGTGTAATTCCCTCCTCATTGGCCTACGTCATCGTAGACTATCCCCCCTCCAGTCTATCATGAACGCTGCTGCCAGACTCATCCACCTCACTAACCGTGTTAAGACTATGGACACCTTGGCTTTTAAGGAGTGAATGGTCACCACACTGTGCATTACCCATTCCCATTTGAAATTGTGCTTTTCATATTTAGGAAGCAATTTTTGTCCAGGGATTGCCCCTTGAACTGTTATCCTTCGTATGGGTTTATGTACACTCGCATAGCTGTCAAATGCCGCAATGCCAAAGGCATCTCCAATGGCTTTGCCAAGTGGTGTTGTCCCTGGAACTGTTCAGGCACCATGAGATGGTAGGTCAATCAGCCCCAACATGAGTAACCGCTGGGAAACCTCTGGAGAAACCCTAGGGTTCCATGGAACCCTGGTTGAAAATGGTTGTGTTTAGACTATGGACACCTTGGCTTTTAAGGAGTGAATGGTCATCACACTGTGCATTACCCATTCCCATTTTAAATTGTGCTTTTCATATTTAGGAAGCAATTTTTGTCCAGGGATTGCCCCTTGAACTGTTATCCTTCGTATGGGTTTGTGTACACTGTCATAGCTGTCAAATGCCGCAATGCCAAAGGTGTCTCCAAAGGGACATGCCATGGTATCCCAAAAATGTAATCCATACTGTGCCATTGAGGTAAAAAGGAATCTGCTAATTTGTCTTTTATGAGCATTTCAATAGCACATCAAACTTGGGTTTAAAAAGGCCCATGTACACAAACCCTAACAATTCCAAATATCATGGACAACCATACCACTGTTCAAATTAAAAGCAGACAATTCTGAAAAGATAGAGACATGAACTGTTTATTGCAACCCATCAATAGTATTCTTATGAGGTACAAAGCTCTGCAACTGAGTGCATGAATTCCTATGGGTTGTGCAGACATTACATACAGGCAGCTGACATGTCTGCAATAAAGACTTTTAGATCCAGCTTTTCAAAAGCAAACTGACTGCATCTATTATAGACACACACGGCTCATCCCCAGCGGAATCTGCTTTTTTGCAAGCCCCGTTAGCGCTGTAGTTCCATGTCCCTTTAAATCCAGCAAATGTGGCTTATAATAGTAGAGAACCCTGCACCTACTTTGCCAATGTGGCATCTAAAGGAAATTCAACCTTTGCCAGTCTTTGAGAAGGTCAGACTAGAGGATACTGTCCCTTAACCTTTTTCTCACACCAACAAAGGTTTATTACCGATATTTACAAATCAAAATCAATAGGAGACAATCTTATATATTTTTTTTTTTTATACATACAACAAGGAATGCCCTGCTTTTTTTTATTTATTGAATTAAAAAAAAGTACATCCACCCAAATATACCCACCTTTAATCAAGCATTCCCCTAAAAATATAATTCTATTCATGCAGGTACTTGCTGCACCAAAAATATTATTATTGTTTATATATGTTTTTTTTTTTTAAATAAAATTTTGAAAAAAAAAAAAATTTAAAAATAAATTTAACTTAAAATCAGTGCCTTAGTCCCTCCAATAAATGTCCAAGCAAAAAAACATAATTATTTGGAACTGAAAGGCAAACAAAAATTAATCATTCTGATGAATTAAAAAAAAAGTTTTTATTTCATTATACAGTTGCAAGAAAAAGTATGTGAACCCCTTGGGATTACGTGGAGTTTTGCATGAATTGGGCATAAAATGTGCTCTGAACGTCATCTAAGTCATAACAATAGAAGAACACAGTCTGCTGAACATAATACTACACAAACATTAGATGTTGCCATGGTTTAATTGCACATAACATGTAAACATTCACAGTGCAGGGAGGAAAAAGTATATGAACCTTTGGACTTAATAACTGGTTGACCCTCCTTTGGCAGCAATAACCTCAACCAAACGTTTCCTGTAGTTGCAGATCAGACCTGCACAACGATCTGGAGTCATTTTGGACCACTCCTCTTCACAAAACTGTTTCCGTGTAGCAATATTCTTGGGATGTCTGGTGTGAATCGCTCTCTTAAGGTCATGCCACAGCATTTCAATCGGGTTGAGGTCAGGACTCTGACTGGGCCACTCCAGAAGGCGTATTCTGTGCTGTTGCAGCCATTGTTTTGTTTAATTACTTGTATGCTTTGGGTCATTGTCCTGTTGCATCACCCATCCTCTGCGGAGCTTCAGTTGGCAGACAGATGGTCGTAAATTTCCTGCAAAATGTCTTGATAAACTCTGGAATTCATTTTCCCATCAATGACAACAATCCGTCCAGGCCCTGAGGCAGCAAAGCAGCCCCAAACCATGATGCTCCCTCCGCCATGTTTCACAGTGGGGATGAGGTTTTGATGTTGGTGTGCTGGGCCTTTTTTTCTCCACACATAGTGTTGTGTGTTCTTCCCAAACAACTCAATCTTGGTTTCATCTGTCTACAGTATATTTTGCCAGTAGTGCTGTGGAACATCCAGGTGCTCTTTTGCAAACTTCAAACGTGCTGCAATATTCTTTTTGGACAGCAATGGCTTCCTCCGTGGTGTCCTCCCATGTACTCCATTCTTGTTTAATGTTTTCCTTATTGTAGATGTGTCAACAAAAATGTTAGCATGTGCCAGAGATTTCTGTAGGTCTTTAGCTGACACTCTGGGATTCTTCTTTACCTCATGCAGCATTCTGCGCTGTGCTCTTGCAGTCATTTTTACAGGACGACCACGCCTAGGGAGAGTAGCAACAGTGCTAAACTTTCTCCATTTGTAGACAGTCTGTCTTACCGTGGACACATGAACATCAAGGCTTTTGGAGATACTTTTGTAACCCTTTCCAGCTTCATGCAAGTCCACAATTCTTGATGGTAGGTCTTCTGAGAGCTCTTTTCTGCGAGGCATGGTTCACATCAGACAGTGCTTCTTGAAACCAGTAAACCCAAAACAGGTGTGTGTTTTTTAAGGGCAGGACAGCTGTCAGCAACACATCCAATATCATCACACTGATTGGAGTCAAGGTTGGCTCACTCCTGGCTCCAATTAGCTCTGGGAGAAGTCATTATTAAGCTAGGGCCTCACATACTTTTTCCTCCCTGCACTGTGAATGTTTGAAACATGTTATGTGCAATTAAACCATGGCAACATCTAATGTTTGTGTAGTATTATGTTCAGCAAGACTGTGTTCTTCTATTGTTGTGACTTAGATGACGTTCAGAGCACATTTTAATGCCCAATTCATGCAAAAAACGTAATCCCAAGGGGTTCACATACTTTTTCTTGCAACTGTATGCATTTTGTTTTCTTTTAATGCATACCAGTTTCACAAAGTGCATGCTTTTTTTTTATTATTTTGAACTGGCAAGCAAGAAGTATCCATTGCCTCCATTTTTATTTAAACTATATTTTTCTTAAACAATCTATCTAGCATTTAAAAAATTCATCAGGCGATACCCCGGCATACAGAGTTGTCTAAAGCACATGCTTAAGTCTGGCAATAAAAAATAAGTATAACAAAAAATATTTTTTTTTTTTAGAATATTCTCTTCTAGGATTAACCTCTAGATTAAGCAATAATTTTTCTTTCAAGTAGATAATACCTGATATTTAATTTTTCTTTCTTTAGAATGCATTATTTTCTGGGATTGCACAGACATATAAGTGTATACCCGTCACCTGTTTTTTTTTTTTTTTTGGTTTTTTTTTTTAAATTTTAATATTTTGTAAAACAAAAAGTTTGTTAGGTCAGAAATACGAGTGGCACACAAATGCCCCCCCTGTTTGTGTGCAACTTTGGAATTGTAACTTATATTTATTATGAAAACTTCTGAAATCCACTCAGGGGGTTAGCGTAAGGCATAATTTGCTGGAGTAGACGTTTCCCATGCTTCATGCTCAATTTGTTTGAGTCTCAAAAAAAGGCAGATTAGTTGTTTTTTTTTTTTTTCTTTCTTTTGCCCGTCTCTGCGGCCGTTGCAAAAAAAAGCAAAAACTAAACAGCAGAGAGAGAGAGAAAGAGGACGGTGATCAGCGGCAAAAGAACGGAGGTGACCTCAAATTGACTTTCGCCTTTTCATTAGCCTGTGGCTTTCTGTAAAGCTGTGCAAACCGGGGGAAATAGAACTAACGGGAGATGGAAAGAGACTGTTTTTTAATGTGCTTGGTGAGATTTCTTCAATTTTATACGATATAGAATGAAAGTACTGAGGATTCAGCTTGGAGCTGAAGGAGTTTTGGTGAGATACCACCCGACTGGTGTACTCGTGGGACCTGTAGCACATGCAAGAGCAAACCGACTGAAGGTCTGTGACTTCAGCTTTATATCGCGGCCGGCCGTGTTGTGAGTCTTCTTGGATGTGAATAATCATGCTGTTGCGATTTCCGGCTAAAGATGCCCGTTCCTCAGCATCCCTCCTCTCGTCTTCACTGTTCATGGTTAAAAACCTGAGAACAACTAAGTTTAGAAATGCCCCGATGACCGTCAATCCCACCAGAATGTCATAAAGCTAAAAGCCACATAGAGCGGCTTCTTTTGGAGGGCCCTGTTCTTCTGCAGGGCCACGTAGTCCCCAAAGCCTATTGTCGTTAAAGTTATAAAACAGTAATAGTAGGCCTGGAAGAAGCTCCATTCTTCATAATGGGAGAAGGCAGCAGCTCCGATACATAGGGTTCCCATGCATGAGAAGAACCCAACGGTCACCATGTTCTCCATGGACACGTCCGTGCTCCGCATCCCGCAGCACTTCTTAATCCGTTTCAGGAGGTACTTTACGAAGGTGTTCATTCGCTCACCGAGACTCTGAAACATCACCAGGGTGAGGGGGATTCCCAGCACGGCGTAGAACATGCAAAAAGCTTTTCCTGCATCGGTTCCAGGTGCAGCATGCCCATAACCTAGGAGAACAGAGAAACAAAGGGCATTACACAATCGAAGGGTATGGAAAAGGGATCACAAAACCCCAAAATCAGAATACAATATTAGCAACACATCCCATTTTCTTTTACAAATGGTAAGTGCCCATTGGCGTGGGGGACGGAAGTTTACTAAGGAAGTTTTTGTAGCCTTCTAGCCCAAGAATTATGATTTATTATTATTAACACTACTAATTGCTGAGACAATACTTTAAGTAGTGTAGAAAATTTGTGTTCAATTGTCTGTCCTCCAATAGTCTGATAACTTGTATTATTAAGTGTTCTTCCATGGCGACCACTTACTGTTATCTCACATATATATTCTTATTATTATAGCCAAATTTACCACCCTAACCCCTCCCACAGTTTTTACACTACATAGACAGTAATATACGGAAACGTGCGGATTGTTCCCGATTGGTGCGCTATTACTTTGTGGAACGTTTCGCCGAATGGTTCATGAAATATTGGCGTTTTGTGGTGAAATTGGTCCCATAGGAATGAATGGCGGAATGTTCAAAACTAGAGTGGGAGCTGACAAAAGCTAGAGTGTGAACTGAAAAATCAGGACATGATTTCTAAACTGCCATCACTCCCTCATTTTCAAGCCCACCTACACAAATCTTATATCAAAACGTTCAGCTATCCCTGCTGCCACTAAAAATGTCCACGGCTAAGCCATAGTCCTGATAGTTTTCACAATATGACCATTTGTTTGCAACTCACGCCGCCCATTGACATTCATTGAAACTCCACTCTAGCCACCTCAAATTTGAAGGGTAATTTTTAAACTGTGCCTTCATTTTTAATATTTTAGAGACATACTATGCATCAAAATGTAGGTCTGGGTCTTGTGATTCTCACAATATAGAGGTGGAGGCAAGAACACTTCACACAATTTCCCCAGAAATTGTAGTTTTTCTAGTTATTATTATAATACAGGATTTATATGGCGCCAACAGCTTGCACAGCACTTTACAAGCATTACAGTCACAATACAATTTGGCACAAGAGGAAACAGAGGGCCCGGCTGAGCTTACAAACTAGGAAGTTCGCTACAAACCTACATTAAAATTCCCTTTTATATTAGCTCAAAAATCTTTAATAACCCCTTCACATCTAAGGGAAAAACAAATCTCAATGCCTAAGCACAATTTTGCAACAATGACACGTTTTAGTAAAACCGTACATATCATCACAACTACTTTGTACATCCAGGTGATTTATACCGTTTTTTTTCAGGACAAATTGGGCTTTCATTTGGTGGTAAATGGTAATGGATATCACCTGATTTTTTTTATTATCAAATGAAAAATTGGCCCAAAATAGTAAAAAAAATTTTTTTTTTTTTTAATTTAGCTGTGTGTTTCTTGTTACTACCATAACCTACCACCAAAGAACAACCCAAAAGAAATTTTCCAGCTCTTGATGATCGCAGCGATACCATATATGTGTATGTTATTTCTTGTTTGTACTCGCAGTAAAGCCCAGAAACAATAGTGTGCATTTTGTTTTTTTTTGTTTTTTGTTTACCTAAAACACACTGATACTAATACCAATAAAAAAAAAAATCCTGACCTTTGACCCTGATCTTTTGACTTTGACCATTGACCTAAACACATACCCTGGCACTGAACTAGATCAAACCTTGATCTAGCAATTTTGTCATTATTTTATATCTTTTTTTTTTTTAATATTTATTCATTTATTTATTTATTTTTTTCACAAACATTTTTTTTTTCTCTCTATGCCAGGAGTTAAAGAGATACAATGTATCTCTCTTCTCCATTCATAAAGAGAAAAAAAACAAGGGGGCCGGGCTGTACAGTGACTGATCACTGTGATAGCCAATCAGAGGCTATCACAGTGATCATGTGACCCGGAATCGGGAGTCCCGATCGTAATAGCAGGACCCGGGGCTCTCAGTTGCACCGTGGTCTTTGCGCTGGGAGCATGCCATGTGACACACTCCCAGCACAGAGACAGGTACCCAAATATGCGGCCCCACGGAAAAAAGCCCAGTTCTGTCAGGCCGCATATTTGTGTGACGTCGGCGTCAAGGGGTTAAAGACACTTCACCAAGTACAAGTTGAAGAAGAAAACAAATAGTTTGAAATCATATGGCTTAATGACAACAGTAGCAGTAAAAAGATACACCAGAGAAAACGGCATAAAACATCGCAAGCTCCAACTCGCAAGTTCGCATGCACCCGGACGAAGTGTACATATAAACAGGGGCGGACTGACAACTCATGAGGCCCCCGGGCAATAGGGGGTCATGGGGCCCCTGTGTCCTTGCCCAAACTCAAAAAGCCTATGAAAAAGGTACCAGGGGCATCTCATGGGGCCCCCTACTGACCCCGGGCCCTCGGGCAGTGCCCGAGTTTCCAAGTGGTCAGTCCGCCCCTGCATATAAAACACTTTTACAAAAGGACTAAAGAGTAACTCCACTTTTGTTGAGACATTCGGTCGCTTGTTTACTTAAGTTGTATATAACTTGGGATCTCCCCCCTCTCCCTCTTTGAGGGTTTGGACCTTTGACCAATTTTGGGGAGTTGGGGTGTAGTTGTTACTTTGTATAGGGGGAGATATTTATTATTCCTTTTTCTGATCAACTGTATTTTGTGATCCCTTAGAATGACGACTTTGTTCTTTACAAGTCTTCAAGTGAACTTGGATTCTTTCATGATCGATGTTCACTATTTATATTGGTTATTGGAGGCCCCTCTCTGTCCATCCAGATACTATTGACCCATATCTTTCAGGAGCTATCTGAGAGTGTGCTGGTATCATCAACTGGTAATTGCTGTTTTTTTTTTGTTTTTTTATTTAAATATTTGTTAATTTTTTTCAGATAAACAAGTTATACAAACATACTCATTAAAATTATTATTATTATACAGTATTTATAAAGCGCCAATGGTTCGCTCAGTGCTGTAATCTTAGCATATTATCAAAACATTTATCGTTTAAGCCCTTTCCCCCCCCCCCACCACCACCCTACCTATATACCACCCCCCCCCCCATCCAATCCCTGACCCCTTTCCTGTACATTTCTGGAGATCGTAATCTCTATTAACCATTTGCCGCCCGCCCTATGGCCGAATGGCGGCCGGCAAATGTCATCAGCTTTCCGGGTGGACGCCATATGGTGTCCTCCCGCACATGCGCAGATTTGCACTCCTGCAGAGCCGCGCAGCGGCGCGATCTGTCAATGGCCGTGTACCTCGGACACGGCCGATGACAGATCTGAGTATCAGCCCCGTTGCTGGTACCATGTGACCTGCTGTGACCAATCACAGCAGGTCACATGACAGTTGTATACAATGGTTGGCTTCATTCATGCCATCCATTGTATACTAGTGTCTAGCTGTGAATGGTCACAGCTAATCACATGCACATGTCATGTGATTAGCTGTGGCCAAATCACAGCTAAGCACAAAAAAAAAAAAACTCTGAATGAATCGATGTCATTCAGGTAAATGCTTGCTTATAGCAAAGTAATTCCTTGGTATAAGCAAATTGTGTAAAAAAAAAAAAAAATACTGATCACTTCCCCAAAGTAGTACAATGTTACTATGGTAACATTGTACTACTTTGGTCATAGTGAAATATGAAAAAAAAATCTTAAAAAAAAGAAAAAAATTTAATAAAAAATAATAAAAATAATATATATATATATATATATATATTTTTCATACTGTCACCAGTCAGTGTCCCTGATCACCGCCATGCCAGTTATATGATGACGCTGTACTGCATTGGTGACAATATGTTAAAAAAAATAGTGAAAATATTTTTTTTAATTTTTTCATTTTCCGAAAAATTATGACAAAAAAAAAAAAAATACTTCAAAAAACTCGCCATGCCTCTTATGAAGTACGTCGGACTGTCTACTTTGCAAAAAGGGGTCATTTGGGGGATATCTGTACTATTCTGACATTCTTGAACCTCAAGAAATTAGATTGGCCGTCAGTACTTCAGGATTGATCAATATTCAGATCTATACCATAGTTTGTGAACTCTATAACTTTCCTACAAACTAAATAATACATCCTAATTTGGGTTATTTTCACCAAAGACATGTAGCAAAATACATCTCGGCCTAAATTTATGAAGAACAATTATTTATATGCAAACTTTTATAACAGAAACAAAGAAAAACGTGTTTTTTTTTTTCAAAATTTGTTGTCTTTTTTTGTTAATTTAGCAAAAAATAAAAAACCCCAGTGGCGATTAAATACCACCAAAAGAAAGCTCTAGTTGTGTGAAGAAAATGATAAAATTTAATTTTGGGTACAGTGTTGTATGACCGCGCAATTGTCATTCAAAGTGTGAGAGCGCTGAAACCTGAAAACTGGCCTGGGCAGGAAGGTGTAAAATTGCCCGGTATTGAAATGGTTAAAGAAGAACAAAAATAAGTTTCCATATTATTCTACGTTAATCCCCCATAACCTCTAAGACTAGCCTTGACTTTTTGAATTCCTCCCATTTGTTCCATCTTTTATGGTGACTCTCCTCTTCATTCAAATGATAAAGTTCCTCCAATTTACATATTTGATCCACCCTATCCACCCATTTTATTTTCAGCACCTCCTGTCTCCTCCAAAACTTAGGTATCAGTCCCTTTGCTGCATTCAAATAGTACAATAAACCAGATTCTTTGTATTTTTTAAACTGAAAGCTTATTACTATGAAAAAGGGAAATCTCTGGGTCTGACTGGTAATTGCTGTTAATTTGTTTAGTTTTAATTTGTTTTGCATAATTGTGTATGATCACACATTGATTATATGTTTTTGGTTCTGTTTTGGTTTACTGTAGGAATTAATGTTTTCTTTTGTTCCCTGAAGAAGTGGGCTCTGTCCCATGAAATGCATTGGAATCCCAAAACAAAGTACCTTTTCATGGTGTCAAGTGGAAACTACATGTTTTAT